GCCGTGTGGTTGAACTAGGTCATGGCGTGACGGGTGAGGAAGACATCAATATAACCACAGTCCCTCTATCATGATAGAGGGACTGTGATATAACACTCACAAAATCACAACAAAACAGAGAAGTGGTCGCATATTACAGTGTAGCTAACACCGGAAATGAAAAACCGCACAATACAAACGCCAAGGGTTCGAATCCTACTAGATACAATAATAATAAATCTGACGAAACTCCACCATGCAAAACTGCATGAATGAATAAATAAATAAATAATAAAATAACTTACATTTTAAACTGAACGAGGTGCAATTTGTACAACAGTTACCAGATTGTGACAAGAGATAAACAGACCCAATTCAATGTAAGTTAAGATATTATTAATGTGTCATGATGGTGTTCCCTCTATTACGAAAACAATTCAGGCAACAGATGAATATCTTCTGTGGTGTAGTGGTATTTTTAATGTGTCTGCGGAATTATTGATTGAGGGTTCGATTTCAGCAGTTAACATTTTGTTAGAAAGCTTCACAATTAAATCAAATATCCAATGATACCAGTATACTTATTTATTTATTTTAACAAGGCCAGACTTTTTTTATTCCTTGTTTCTCGAGTTTTTTTAAGGCAATTTTTTTGAGGAGGACGGAAAAAAAATAAAATTAATTCTTTTTTTCCATTAGATTTGTTTGATTCTCAAAGAGTTGTAAGTGAGATCATTGATCGGAGAGAAGAAATGAAAGAAAATTTTAATTCATTCATAATCTTGTTTCTCATCTGCGTGAGACTTCGGTACTTTGATCATGATACTCCCACGAAAATGCAACTTGGATTTCTTATGTGGCGGGCGGTAAAAAAATGAAGATTAAAATAATACTTTTTTAGGTACGAGAAATTACGCTGAAATAAAATTTTATTTTTATTTCATTTTCGGTTCCTGTTCATTCGCCGGGTTCGCGAAAACAAGGGATAATAAAAGTCTGGCCCAACTTGCAATGGCGGAAGTTGATCAAACATGAGCTCTTCACACCTAAAGAAGTATCTAATATTTGTCGACATATTTATTCTCTCAATTTAACAAGTTTCAATGGTGGAAATCAATTAAATTAAAAGTTGTTTACACCAAAATAAGTATCAAATATTTTTTCACATATTTATTCTCTCAATTTAACAACTTGTGGGAATTAATAAAACGAGAGTTGTTTACACCAAAATAAGTATAAAACATTTGTCCACACGTTTATTCTCTCAATTCAACAACTTGTAATGGTGGGAATTAATTATATGCAAGTTGTTAACACAAATACTGTTAAAAGATTAATTATTCACTGGGTTTTAATTTGCTTACTTTGCTGACTGGAAAATGTGCTAAATTAAAACCCAGTGAATATATAAAATTTAGCATAGAACACATTATCTAAATGATAAAACCGTGAATTTAAAACCCACTGAATATGCCTGAAATGGCAAATCAGCAAAATTTAAACCCAGTGAAAATTTGTCATTTTACAGTATAAATCTGGCATACTTGTTAATACATTTAGTCTCTCAATATAACAACTTGTAATGATGGAAATTAGTTAAACAAACTTTTGCATGGCCAATATTTATTCATGAATAAATTAGCATAATTTAAAAAAATATGCCAAGTTATTAATCCTTGGAGAGGGTTTACAGCAGTTGCGTTCACGTTAGTCAAGACCTGCTTGGAACCCACTCGGCTTGTGCCGAAATCACGCCCTTATTCGTATATCTGTTATTTACCCAAACATAGAAAATGATGTGCATATGATGATAATAATAATTGCTATATTTAAATTATATTCATGTTTTTTTATGGTGTTTATTATCAGTATTCATGCACATAAACGTCAAAAAAGATTGAAAAACATTTTTTGTTCATGTCGATGTAACATTGAGGGAAAAAAACATCGCTGATGTCGGTTTGCATTGATTTCATTCATTACTACAGCACCCAAACATACATAGCTGCACTTGCCTCCATCGTTATGTCATACTAGTATGAATCAGTATATGTTCTCTTAATGTAAGAAATGATGCTATTATTCCCTGTGTTTGGGTAAATTCCTGAGTTCAGAATTAGTTTTTTCAGTGAATTTACAAGAAAATCAGTACTATACTTAATAATTTCTGAGCAAGAGCCACTCAGAACACTCTTCCATAATGTGTTATAAATTTACTATACGTTCTCAATTTAGTAATTTATCTTTGCAGAAGTTTACTATTTGCCTTACTTTGTGTATTTTCTAAATGTTGACTGATTGTGTCATTTTCATTGGTTTCTTCCTGAATTGATGTAATCCATGGAAGTGTGTATTTTATCTACTCATGGTATGCTTGTTTTGTCAAGTTACATTCTGGAAGTTCTTTGATGCATGCCAAATACTTCATCAGATTTATTTACCAAATAAAATCAAAACAATGACAAATTAAGGTAGTTTATTCAAAACAGAATTAAAACAATATATTTTAACCAATTAGCAGTCTACGAGTTATATACTATTTTCGTAATGTAACTTCTATTCATCTTAAAATTATTTACAAATTATTGCATTAATTGTTATTGTTACATCATTATTACAAACTTGTATTCTGTTTATTATATTTTATACTTTTCAAACAATTGTAATTATTAAACTTATGACGCTCTACTGTTCCAGATAGGAATATGGAACCAGTAAAGTATTGAAGCTCTTGGACAAAAGATGTGATAAACATATGACATGACCATATATGGTCATGTGACCTCATTAAATATGCATAACAGTAATATCTCAAGCACAGTTACAGATAGGGCCATGCAGCCAGATCAATATTGAAGCTGTTGCAAAAGAGATGTGACTAACATATCAAATGACCATATATGGTCATGTAACCTCATTAATATGCATAGCTGTTCTATCTCTAGCACTGTTACAGATAGGGACATGCAGCTAATGCACTGATGATGGTGTCTGACCCGAGAAATGACTCACATTTTTTTAACAGAGTTCTGTTTAAGCTAACAATGTGTTTGTTTTCAGGACCCATCCCTGTTGAATTCCACTGTGCCAGATCTGACAGTGTGTTTTCAGAAGACAGTGCTGGTATGGGTACCGTGTGCATTTCTGTGGATGGCGTCCCTCTTCTACATCCAGCATATGAAAAAGTACAGCCGTGGTTATATCCGAGTGTCAAACCTTCATCGATGTAAAACAGTGAGTATTATATGCCCAAGTACGGGCATTAATGCTTGGCAATGACTACACACAAATGTCTGTAAAACAATCTTATCCATTATTATCTGTTGAAGTTTGACTGTTACTTAGTACTTTTTTTTAATAATGTTGTATTTGACATGTATTGCTTACATCAAATATGAACAATCACAGGATAAACTTGACACTTTTACATTGAACTGAATAATTGTATAGTCTACGCTGTCATTTTGACCCGATTTGGCATGAACTAAATGTTGTAATCAACTAATCTGATTAGTTGGAAGTGATTTAAGAGAAATTGGCACATTGTGTTTGTTCTTTAATGATTTAACTCGGGTGGTTCATCTGAAATTTATTGCCTACCAGTTTTCCATATTCATTGATACAGTTGCATAGATTTACCATTACAGAAATAAAAGTCAAAATAAGGACTGGAGTCATAAATATTCTGCTATACATGTACATTAACTTTCATCCAGTGAATAGATAGATAGATAAACATTACACAAAAATACAGGCCAGAATATAATATTATCGCCCTGGATGATTTCATGGCTGGTGGGTCCTTATTTGGGGTTCAAAATTTCAAAAAATGCTCATCTAATATTTTTTAGAACTTCTATTTTCATTGAGAAATTTACCTCCGTGTTGACTTTCAACGCCAGCAGTTTGACCACCCAAGACGAAAAAAACTATTGCAGAAGCTAATCTAAAATTTGAATTAAAAAAATAGCCCTCCTAAAATTTCATTACAATGTCACCCAGTGTCATCTTTCTCCAAAAAAATCACATTAACAAACCTAAGAGTAAATTTAAAAAAAAAGAAGTTTCAAATAAAAACGATCACAACTGCATTGCTTAGTAGCAAATGATTGCGACAGCGCAATCTGGTCATGCTGCGTTTCACAATTGTTGATTATTATTGAAATGTCTGACAAATGATGCCAAAATATATAAAAAAAAACTGCCGAAAAAAACGCCCTGGGTGATTTCTTGGTCCCATTTTATTTATTTTTTAAACCCAAACTGCCATTTAACGGCCCAGGGTGAATTTACGGCAGAATCGGTATATATATCACATTCTTGTACGGTAATACATTTTATCTCATGATGCTTTCCATTTCAGATTTTTACGGGTCTGCTTATTTTTATTCCACTTGTAAATTTAGTCAAAGCTATTTCTGAAAGTCATAATGGTGTTCATAGACCATCTGTTGATTACATTGCTCCAGCGGTTCTCAGTGTTACACTAGTAAGTCAAGTTTCTTTTTTATATTTCCACCTTAAATTATTTACAAGTCTTGTTATTTTTACGAATACAACTCAGATTGTGACTGTGTTGTTGCTGAAACCTTCCACAGATAGCTAGTGAATGGAAACCATGTTAATCAGAGACGACGGCGCAAAATTTTGCATTGGGGAGGGGGGGGTCTACCCACCAACCTTGCACAGAAGGCACGACCTTACTAGGGGGTCCGGGGGCATGCTCCCCCTTACAAATTTTGTCTAGACCCTCTGAGA